GACCCCTCTGTGACCTTTAAGAAGGAAGTGCAGACGATTTTTCGAGAACCTCAGGCCCAGGATGACGCGTCCAGGCTCCTCATTACTCTTGACTCGCCTCTCCTCTTCCCTATTTCCATGTTGCTCTTTTCCACTGACACCCCTCTCTAAAATGTCCCCCTTATTGTTGTCCTCTTCTTCCTCATCCACTCCTGTTTTCTCTCCTTTTTTTGGCTCCGTCAAGGAAAAGATATATTCATTTCTCTGAAAGGTAAACAGGGAAAACAGTCAGTATTTGGCAAGGGCCGAAAGTAACAACGTACATTTACTGAAATACTTATTAAATGCTGCAAACATTAATTAATTAATCAAGGATATAGTCAACAGATGAATCGATAATGAAAGATTTGGATTTGAAATGTATGTCCCAGAGGGATATATGTTCACCCCATCGACACAACAGATATACACATAGCAACACATAGCAATAAATAGCGATACAACAACACAGCGACATGCATCAACACATAGTAACAGCAACGCACAGTAACCCCAAATACTTTTAGCAACAAACAGACAGTAAACAAAAACATCATGTGTGAATCCATATTATCCCATTAGTGTCAGCAAGGAAGATTGTTAGGGCTGCTTAGTGAGCTCTTTTTCCATTTCAGTGTCCTATGTCTCCAACATGGGAGTAATGAAGTCTTGGATCGGGGGATTAGTGTCATTTGATATTGTGAGAGCGATGTATGTGAGATGTATGTCTGATACACTGGGTGTGGGAAGCAGATTCATTTGGAGGCAGTGCGTGTGATGCTGGTGAGTTTGTTTTCCGTTGGTGATGGTATAATAGTGAAAAAGCAGGGGAAACAGGAATGCTAAGCCACAGGAAGAAGCAATTGTTTCATGGACTATCAGTGATGAAAAGTGGAACATTTGTATTTACAACCCAAATTTGTACTTCTTAAAATGTACTTTTCAAATCACTTAATCATACTGCAACATCAGTTTTAAGATTATCAACAGTTTAATTTTCAATGAGTTTTTATACAATGCATATACAGTATACATATATCCCTTAATATACTCCATTGTTTAAATTGCCTCCACCACAAAAATGCTGCATATTGAGCATTTCTAGGTACTTGAGGTTGTTGATATTATTTGTGTACTTTAACTTTAAGTATCATTTTAAATGTAGGGCCTTTATTTGAAACAGAGTTTTTTCACACTACACCGGTATGGGTACTTTCACTAAATGAAGAAGCTGAGTACTTCTTTGACCAATGGCATTCAGTAACGGATGTTTCTGATAAATGTGGAGCCTCACCTTGGGCGCACTGCTGGAGACCTTTAGAGTCACAACAATGGAGAATTGTTTGGGGAAGAGGTCGCAGTTGACCAGCAGCTGGGAGGAGGGAAAGCTCATGGAGGTGTGAGGGCTTGAGAAACTGACGCCCCTCACCCCTCCGGCCTGCTTCATGTTCACCCCTGGTACCAGTTTGGAGGTGTCCCTCTCCAGGACAAAAGACAAAAGATCCAGAGGAAGCATATCTGCAGACAATAAGCAAATAAAGAACTCAGGAAGATTGTTTTACAGCTGAAAGCCTTATTTATGGAGGAATTGCTACACTAAAGCAGTTGTTCCTAAACGTGGGGTAAGGAGGACCCCCTAAAGGGGTCGCAAAATAAATATATGGGGCCCTGAGATGATTAATAGGATTGCAAAGAGTCAATAAGATGATCTGCTTCCCACACTTTAGAATTCTCATCAATAAATTATTTAAACTGATCAACCTGATCATGGAAGCTCATTCTTAGGAATTGATGGAATAGTCAACCAAATAGGGAAATATTGTATTTCATACTCCACTACAATTATTTGACAGCTTTTACTTAACAAATGAATATGTTTGCATACAACACACGTGAAAAGATGTTGATAGGAGATGCTATGTAATAAAATAAACTGCCCAACAGCATTTACAAGTAGAGCTGAAAAAAAGTCAATTTACAGAAAATACATGAAGATTTTTTTTTAATGCAAAATCTTAACACTGATTTTGAATCTTTGGTTAATTGTAACAGACATCATTTTGTGAATTTTTTCAAACCAAACAACCTATCGATTATTCAAAAAAATAACCAGCAGATAAATCCATAACAAAAATAATCATTTAGTAGTTTCAGCATAGAAGAGTCATTTGCTCCAACTCAACCAACAACAAGGGTAAACAATTGCTTTAATATAAATGCATCAGTATAATATTATGTGATGACATGACATATTATAACAGCCACAGGGGACACAGTAATATTACTTTAAAAAATGTAAGCATATTTTCCTGATAATCCTGTTATACTTTTACTTAATTAAGATGTTATAGTGGGGTAATATACTTTTAATGAGGTAAGGAATCCGACCACAGCTGCTCAGAGGTAAACCATTTGAGACAAAAGGAGAAGACATAGCTTTATTGAGGTGACTCATGTATAAAAGAGTTGGGAGACACCACCCGGTGTGTGAGAAATAGCCCTGGGTGATGGTGGAGCTATAAGGAGGGGTTGTTATTAAAAAAGGACGCTTCATGAGCAACGGCAATAATAGAAGAGAAATGCCCTGAAATTGATGAGGCATCATATGAATGTTCGTCCTGACAATATGATGTGTATAGAATTGTTGTGGAATCCTAACCACATCCAATGTCTGTACTTGTTTGTGGAAGTTAATTTAACTTAATATTGCACGCAATACTGCACACACACAAACACTCCCACTGAACTGTAAGCAGACACAGACAGTTGGAATTATCCAAAAGAATTTTAGCTGGAGGGGTTTCCCAGGTTTCTAAATGAAACCCTAAACCATCCGCACAATAATCATTAACTGTGTTGAAGTGAGCTGAGGTAATAGAGAGGGAAGCTGAGGTTGGGGAGAGGTAAAATAGAATGAAATGATGTTACCTGTGCAGCGTCTCCATGTGTCTGCGGTGCAGTCAATGACCCTTAACCCCAGGAGAAGGAAGTGCAGAAAAATGAGCAAAGTCATCACAAAAATCCTGTTTGGTTCAGTTGCCAGCTGGTGCGCATGTCTCCATACCAAAGATATTTCTCTTGCTTCTTTTGTCTCTATCTTAAGTGACAACAAACACAAGAGAAAACTGTGTATTATTCATGTTGATATGATTTTCAAGATCCAAAGAAAGATTTCTAGCCACAAACTCTGTTTCTAAAAATCACAAATATATAAACTAAGACCCAGAGCATCTGTGCTGGAAGAGGAATTCATTCATCTGTGTGGAGAATCCTGCACCTGCAGCTCCTTTTAAACACCAGAGCCATGCAAATCACTAACCAGCCTGTCATTCATCCGCCCTCAACCGCCTCTGATGACACAGACCTGACAGAGGGTGAGCTGCTCCTGTGTGTGTGTGTGTGTGTGTGTGTGTGTGTGTGTGTGTGTGTGTGTGTGTGTGTGTGTGTGTGTGTGTGTGTGTGTGTGTGTGTGTGTGTGTGTGTGTGTACATATTTCAATGTAATAGTATGGAAAATGTCTGTCCAAAGACACATTCCTCCTGATATTCACTACATGACAAGGGGCCATAGCAGACTAAATGTAATTAAAAAGGCAACCCAAAAACATAACAGTTGTGACCTTTGGTCCACTAATAGTAACATGGATATGAGCTATTATCATATTAGTTGTATCCCTATAGTTTATTACCTGAGAAACTGAGGTATGTGCATGAACCCAGCTGTGATATTAAAGTCTCAAACCAGGATGTTTTCCTAAATAATCTGCAAATATGGGGCAGTCTGGGGCAATGAAATTAGGCAAACACTGCAATGACAAAGTAATAAGATAGCCTGGGTTAAATACAAATTGCATAATATAAAATTGGTTAAATCCCATGTTTTGACTTTTGAATGCAAAGTCTAGTTTTCTATGGTCACCTAAAAATGTCATTCAACAACAAAGCCTATTTGATCCTGATGTGTTGGTTACTAGGCGCTCGTGTAATATTCAGTCTGTGTTGTAAGAGGCGTCCGCATCAGACCTCTCTGAATCCTATCATCCAATGACCGGCACATTTACAAGGCAAATACACTTTGTCTCTCTTCTTGTCGCCCATACAGATCATAAACTGCACGCAGATCATGATACCAGATATAAACCCTGCCCTGCTTTTCTTTTCCCTCTTTCCATTCATTAATCTTTCTTCCTTCCAGGCATGGACTGCAGTTTCAGAGGGAGATGTTTGCATGCAGAAAAGTGAATAGAGATTTTCCACTTGTTTTTCCTTATTCCTGGTTTGACTTATCAACTGCTGCCATACGGCTTATCACTTTTCCAGTTGTGGTGAAAGTAACCAGTCGATGTGTCAGATTAAATCTAAGACTCTAAATCCGGCATTGGCTGATAAAGGGACTATTTTTAATCCTTATCTGATTTAATATAATTACTTTTTATAGGCTGCTTTAATCAACCAAGTGATCCTTTGTATTATTTAATGTATTCTCAGGTGCGTCGTGTCACGGATAACAGAATGTTATTCTAACTTCTGTTTTTACATTTAAGCAGAAATGTCTAGATTCTTGTGTTTCTGCATGTCCATGTTTCATATCAGATATAATCTTTTGTTGGTGAATATTCAGAGAAGTGTGTTTTGTGATAAATTCAATCCAAGCAGACAGAGCCTATCATAGTTCACTGGCACCATCTAGCTGTCAATTTCCTTAAAGACACATGCAGTGTTTCAATCTGTCATTTTTGGCATACATTTTTAGTAGGCAAGGCTTAAGAATTCAAACCGTCTTTTTTATAATCCAACACACCTCAACTATGTATAATTGTGTTATGACAGCCATGTTCTGCCACGTGACAACATTTCAAGAATACCAGGTAGAAGAGAGAATAAATGGTTGACACGTGTCACAGGTTGAGCTGTGACGTGTTGTACAAAAGCAAATACACATTTTTGAACACAAAGAAATAACAATGCATGTTACAGCAAATCTGAGTACCAAACTATATTTATTGTATACAGTAGTAAAAGACCACAAATAATGTACAAATCAGTAGAGAAACAAATAACATGACAAGACGCGGGCCCAGTTCTTCGTACATGACAAAGCTTAGCTCATGTTAGCCAAGCTTAAAATATCTTAGTCCTAAGTTCTTCAAATGCAAGTGGAAGGCTGTCCTGATAACTGTGCTTTTTTTGTGAACGAAAAGCTAAAACCAGGATCAATACTTGATGTGCTTGTGCAGAGGTATGTTCATGGGAGAATGACAAAAAAATAACTCTGTACCAACCTAGCTTGTCAAATGCTTGTTAATCAATGTGGGAAGGATGACAGTTTGGTAGTCCTTAAAATGTATTACTGAACATTTGAGCATGTGGCAGTACAGTGAAGCTTTTCAAACAGTGATGTTAAATGTTAATTAAAAACGTTTAATGTTTGGCATTTACAGTTTTTATTTATATAGAATGCATACAAAAATACAGCTGACACTTGATTTGGACTACAATTTAATTACCGAAAAAAAGAAAGCTCCTTTCTAATGTGGCGGAGCAAAACTACATCCAAGGTTATGGAAACGTATCTTGCGGAGACTTGAACACATGAAAATCGCAAAAAGCTGTGTTGCTTAAAAGTAAATAACAAAAGTGTGTCAAATGTAATGGCTAATTGACTCAAACCCTGTTATGTTACAATCAATGAGTACGCCAAAGATGTAGTCTTATCTGAAAATAAATTACATTTGCAAAACTTAAAAATTGTTTGTCATGACCCAACTCACTCATAATCTTGTGGACTACTTGCTTCAAAAACACATTTTCCCAACTGAACTGAGAAACCCAAATTCAGGTCAGGGCATCAACTATTACAACAAGCAATCTCAGGTAACGGTGTACGAAGAACGGGCCATGTGGGTACAGAACAATTATCTCCCAAACTGCATTGGTTGCCCTCCCACTTTGCAACAAACTGAATGCATCCTTCTCTGAACTGTAAAATATTGGAGACACTCATCACCACCTAAGACTGTTTGCAGATCTGAAGTCAGGCTTTTGAACAGATTGCCTTAAATGTTTAAACAAAAGGAAATAGGTTGATTTCTGACAAAGCAGTGAAAAGTGTCTTCAAAATGAGTTTGCAGAAACTGACTTTTATTGGATATCCACTCTCAAACTAGGAGCTGCTTTTCTTCAAAAACATTTAGAATCAGTTTTCTCATGAGTCTACATTCTCAAAGACAATGCAGAGATGAGAGAGCTGACTCAAAAACAGCATTGAGTAACAACCTTCCAGTTATTACCCCCAACATTTAAAACACAGAAGCAGAGCCAATTGTAAGAATACCATTGGGGACTGGCAATTGACCAGCTTAATCAGAAAAAAGGGGAAGAAAACAAGTTATGTATTCCACATTAAGAGACCATCGTTACAAAGATAGACCACAACCAGTTCCAGCAAAGGATAAATAACATTTCCCTCACTTAAACAGGCTTTTGTCTGGATGAGCGAATAAAAGTCTGTACCACGGATACCCAGAGAAGATTTCTCAATTAGTTGAAGTCAAAAGGAAGCAAATAACATGAAATACAAACTCCCTTAAAATGTGACGGGTTAGACCTTGCAATTTGCTTCTACAGTGATCCAAGTACATCAAATATAAAACAGAAGTTCAATCTTTGGAGTATTGGTCCAAGCCCCAAAACTTAATCTAACATCCACTCTGAGACTTCTGTACAAGAAAATCAACAAGCCTCCTGCATGGTAATTGTTAAAAGACAATTAAAAAACAAACACACATTGCAGCACTCTTAAGCGAAAGCACCTAAAATGCAGAGAATTCAAATACCTTTCTTGACAGAAGAGCAGGAGTCACCGTTCAGATAAAAAACAAACACATGAAAGCGAAGTGAAATGGAAGGCGGGTGTGTATTAAGTTCAGATGGTGCTTCCACTTCACAACATTTCCATGCCTACCGAGTGTGACCCCGGACAAAAACTTGCATTCGACCCTGATGGATGAAAACTGTGACAATATACCAGATACTAAGCTTTCACTGGAGAGTGAATGAGAAGCACTGACAAACCAGGAACACATGTGACGCGCTGTTGGTCCAATCGCAGCCTGCGGTGTCGGGAGGAAAGGTTGTCCTGATTGGCCAGCAGAGAGACTGTTGACACGCACAAAAGTTCAGTCCTGGCTGTGACAGTACATAAACAGCTGAGGGGCCCCCTCCCCTCACACACCTGACGAAGAACCATGACAGACATCTCAACTAAAGAAATAATAATAATAATAAAGATAATAATAGTAGGCTGAGAGGAGCGATGGGAAGGGGAGGGGCAGTGAAGGTGGCTGAGGGTGGCCGTCAATTAGGGTGGTGGTGGGGCGCTTAGCAGTGTCCGCCTGTCTGCTGCTGGAAAACATCTATGGTGTCTTCATCTTCCATCTCCAGCTGAGAGAGGCAGAGGAAAAGAGATCCCAGTAAGTAAATATAAACAATAACTATACAGGTATAATGATGCAGATTTATAAATATAACATTTTAGTAGACTTTTCAGAGACGCTAAATAAACATTGCTGAATATTCTCTTCAACAGTGACAGGCTTCTGTGTTGCATAATATATTACCTGTGCAGGTGTATCCGTCTCATTGATAGGCTGGCCGTCAAACCTGAACCTGATCTGCCTTATTGCGAGACCCTGCAGAAGTGAGGACAGACATGAGGGTGAATTTACACATAGTAGCAACATGAAGTGTGCAACTAATGATAAGGCTGTCTGAGGTGTTGCAGTAAGTTCAATTTGGTCTTTCAGCTTACCTGTCGGTCACAGTATGCCTTCATCAGTTTGCTGAGCGGTGTGTGTCTTTTGATTTTGAACTGGACCACCGACCCATCTTGCCCTGCAACCTTAAGATTGATGTGATCGTTCTCAGTCTTTACTCCCTCCTGCAAAAACAAAAGTGTTTAACATGGCGTAAACATGCAGGTTACAAGCTACAGAGTCACCACATTCATGACACTAATGGAGCTTACTCTAAAGTCACTGCATGGTTCACTGCAAAAGAGCAGTATTACAGTTGCATGACAAACGAAGTAACATAAGTTACAAGCCTGAAACTTTTAAATGCATTTAAGTGAAAACTCGATGTGTGGTGAATGAAAACACAATTAAGTAGTTATTTAAATAAACAAACGTATGTGAGGCAGCCTAAAACATGCAGGTTAAGGTTGCTTCAGTCACAGATGCTAACGTTAGCATGATTAGCTTCGTGCTAGGTATTTGGCACACCAGCCCCTTTAAGACCGATACAGAGTTTAGCTGCCGGCTAACGCTGCTAGCGATTTTGTTTGGTTGTACTGATGCAAAACAGGCACTGATACATTAAAAACAACCACAATAGCACAGCTACAGTGTATTTTATTTCTGTGATGCACCTCCATTTGCGCTCTTTTGTAGCTGCTGCAGTTGCGGCATTTTCGGCGTTGCGGGCATAACGTGGTCCCGTTTCGACAAAGAAAAAAATCCGCAAATGACAATCATGGTGTAATTGACATTTCTGATCAAAATCTTCGAGTATCCATTTAGTATGACAGGATATCTCATATATCCACCAACAGAGTGATGTGTAGCCGCATGTAGATGTAAATATGGATGTGACTGGTACTCATTCATTTGCGAAACAAACACTGCGCCGATTCAGAGAAACGTGCAAACCAGGCCATTTTAGATTGCACATCTAAGAAATGGTTTGGCAGGAAATCTACTCAGCAATCACTATACATATACAGCTATTTAATTCCTTATATCTTACCTTTGGCTTTTCCTCTGACATCCTGGCTGTATTTTGTGTGCTGGGGTTCAAAATAATCGGTTAATTGGGCTATATTTGTCTCTCTGCCGCCTTCTGTGCTCTCTTTTCCTCCGCTGACGGGTGCGCGCTTTGGACCGAAGTTATAATGAAACGATTGGATCCGAGAATACCACGTGACTTGTAAACCTCGGGAGCGCGCACACGGGAGCGCGCACATGCAAATTACTCGAGCACGCGAGCCCATGGAGTGAATGCTCTTCTATTCCTCTTAATACTCCTACAATAGCATGTTTTTATAGGATATTTATATATGTATTAAAACAGTAAGTAGGCTATATAAAGTAGTAAATGAAAGTTATATCAAAAATCATTTTTTTCAGATTTCAAGCACCATCTTAAATGTCCTTACGGCTTCAAAACTATTTTACCCACAAACACTATATTTACTAAAAGCAAGTTTAACTTATAGAAAAAACGTTTATTTTAACTTATATTAAATTATATATTAAATATAAACATTAGGGCTGGACCCGAATAACCAACTGTTTATCGGTTGTAAAAATAGGTATTGGATTTTCAATTTGGGTTTAGATTTTTTTTTTTAATCCTCAGAATACCTGACATGCATAACACGTCAATAATTCCTGTTTCTTCTATTTATGCAATTATTAACAATACAACAAACTAAGTTACTTTATAATGTGGAAAAATACACTAATTTAATTAAAACGAAGGACGTGTATTTCAGAGCTATACCATCCATCTTAGCTGAGAACGTAGATGTCTGCCGTTGTACTTCTCGAGTCTTGTGTCATGGAGACATCAGACAGAGCGCTTGGACTGTATCGGAGAGGCTTTACAGTTTAAAATATGGAACCTTCTCACTTACCTGAACCTGACTGACAAAATATAAGGCAAAAGTTGTTGTTTAAATTCTAGCACAACACAGTCAAATCACACAATAAAAGTCCAGCGTCAATAAGGATTAAAATATAAGTCCAGATTCTTTTTTATTTGGCCTGTGTGTCTATACAGGATATACATGCAATGTAGAATTAGGCAGACTTTTATCAATCATCAGGATCAACACATTCAACTTTAGTAAATAATGACTTTTTCTGGAAGCAAAGGTACAGTGAAACATGGAGCAGTAACACAATACAAAATTGTCTCCTACATCCCTGGATAAGAATGACTCAATTTGAGATAAGATAAGTAATTAGACAGTACAAAAATAGCGTATAATTTTCTAAGTTATTCTCAAAATCAGGAGCAACTCAGAGGGGCAAAACAGATACATCTGAAAATGTGAAGATGCAAAGATATTTTTAACAACCAAGCTGGATTCTCTCCATTCTGTACATTTAAACTAAGGACTTTACCTAATAAATAGTATAAGGCTGATGCTATCGGAGCCGCATATAATAGACTATTAGTAGTCTTGAAAAACACTGCTGCCACAGGCGTCTATTCTAGCTTTTGGTTTACAACCTCTTAGGTAATCACATTGAGCACAACACACCTATTCATTGGCTGGAAGGAACAATACATGCTGCCTAAACAAAACTACTGTCACCTTTTTGAAATTGTCTTAGCTATATTACATTAATTCTCACATCTACAAAACATGTTGTTGATGTTTGCTCTGCGAGAGGTCAGAGTTCAGAGGAAAAGAGAAAGATCCTCATGCGAATTTGGAGTATGGATTTTGCCCACTTAGTCCTGGAGAAACATAAAACAATCAGTAAAAGTCTTGAATCAACTTCATTTCAAATAGTAGTCTTTGGGAAACATGTGTACTTGTTTTTCTTGCTGAGAGCTAGAGGAGAGGACTGGCACCATTGTCATGTCTATCAGACTAAAAGGAAGCTAGCATCAGCAGCTGGTTAGCCTAGCTTAGCACAAAGACTGTAAATAGTATTTAACATTTATTGCTATGTCTGTAAAGTTGATCAATATTGTGTCATTTTGCATTTGTTTATATCTAAAGAACAACGTGTACCAATAACACATTCAAGGGAGACGGAGCAACATATCACTTTCTTTGTACAGATGTGTATGATAAAGACAGGAAAAAAGGTATGTAAGCAAGTGAGTGTGCTCACCATATTTCTTCCTGATATCGTTATGTCTCTCGTTCATTTCTGCTTTCCTGTAAGGACAAAACAATCTCTTATGAGCACAATGACTGATAATACGTTTTAAACACTCAAACACTCCCACAAGTCATGTGGCTACAAGCCAGTTTGGGCTGGTAACAGTTTGACGTATGCTTTTGTAGTTTGCTATGACGGGAACTGATATGAATCATGTCCAACAAGGCAACAGGGGCAACTAGAGCGGCAAATGGCTGTGGATACTGAACCAGTGCCTTTGGTCAATAGTTCTCTATATGAATACATCTAATGTATGTGCATTTTTACTGAAAGAGAAAACACATCAAATAAAATCACTGTTGAATCAAGAGGTTGGTTAAGTTCACCTTTGATCCTCACCGGTCACTATTTCAGTAAGATGCAGCCTGATAGTCAGACCGATTTGCTTTATTATTAACCGTTTTCATTGTAAATTCAAGTCCACCTATTGTATCTGAGTTCACGTGTTACTGTGTCTCTTGAAACATTGTGTAGCACAAGGGCAAACATCACTTTAACAGAACATAATTTCTTACCTTTCTTCCTGCTTTGTCCTCGTCTTGTTGGCCTGTTTCTGCAACTTGGCTTCCGTCCTTTTGGATCTGACACACAAGTTAGGCTAAGGTTAGATCCTGGAAAGGTACTCAGTGAGTGTTTCCAGGGCAGACGCCTTAAGGTAACCACACCAAAGCTGACAGAAATGTTCAGCATGTGGCCGAATTATCTTATCATCATTGAACTTAAATATTCCTAAATACAAAAGGATCATATTCATATCATAACATCACCTTGTAATGAATTAAGTTCCAGGCACAGAAGTATATTAGGAAAGTCGACGTGACATTAATCTAGACTTATTCTGGCTTCAAAGTCACCAAAATGTACTTTCTGATTTCATCATTCAAAGACAAATTAAAGAAAAGTTTGTTTGTTTGTGTTATTGTTTGTTAAATGCAAGTATGTATATATTTTTGTATTACTCATGTCTAATGACAAAATCCATAAAGTTGCAGACACTGTAACAGATAGACGGTAGGCACTACAACTATACAAAACAAATCATGTCTGACCTTTCTCCTTTACCTACAGTTCATTATGTCCCTATAAAAAAAGTTGCATATTCCCTTTATCATTATTATCAGTCATAGAGCGATAAGATCTCCATAAAGTAGCTCTCTCGCTGCACACTTACCCAAAGTTCTCACACTTGCAGCAGCAGAACAGGCAGATCATGAGGGCGATGATGAGAATTGCACCCAACACTGACAAGGTGATTATCAACGTCTGGAAGTTCACTACAGACAAAAACAGAGAAACACAATGACAAAGGTATGCAGGAATCCACAGATCCAGATCTACCTTCAAGATAGAAAGAGAAAACATGTTCTTCCTATTATTCAGCACTACTTTTCTTTTCATTTTATCACTGACATAGTCACTATTATCATTCTAACCTTAGTATGTATATTGCAAAGTGACTTTTTTGACCGCAACCATAATGTTGCTTGGTTTCTGTGTTATTTTTAGACCAGGAGACATAAAGGTCAGTTCAGTGCAAGACAGAAGTGCAAGTCCCAGTTTGACATTTTCAAATACATGTCAAAACTGTAAGTACTCTTGTGAGAATGTTTAATTATCTGTGTTAATTTTTAAGCCCAATTTTGCTGTAGTCTGACCTTGAAAAGCACACTAATACTTTATTTATCATCATAATTAATATAATTGACAGCCAGTAGGGGCATATTGTACATATGAGACAACAGAAATGTGTCTATTGTCAGAAGATGTTCAGAAACATTGGGATCTATTGCCTTACATTTCATTGAGTATATCAGACAATTGAGACATTGTTGATATCAAAATTGTGTTTGATTTAATCTGGGGAGCTGTCATGGACCCTTTCCCCCACTTTCTGGTGTTTCATAGACCACACTGAGTTGATTCATTTACAATGAAATAGATCTGTACTGGCAGTCCTTCATCAGAGGAATGTAGCTGAGTCACCTGTGACATTTGCTTGAGTTAACTTAGGTTGGACTAAATGGAAAAATACCAATGATGAACCAGTTCCTCAAAACGAATAATTCATTTCTTGCATAGGAATTGACAAAAAAATCCCTAAATGAATAATGAACAATAGGCTTATGTATGCACTCATTAAAGGGTGGAGGTGTGATTCAATATTATTTTAGGAGAGGTCTTTCAAAGTTTAGCTTCTTCTACCAAACACAATCTCCTGTTAACGTTGAAAGAATGTACATCTGAGTATATGTTGATAGAAGTGTGATTTTATATATGATTGTATATTAATGTGTTTGTATTTCTTACTCCAGCAGAGCCCCCAGCGTGCTTCTTTCAGAGGACAGAGTGCATATGGTGGAAGGATGGTCTTCACTGGATACGTTACACATGACTTGGATGTGATACACCACAGACACTGTAAAAATATCAAAACACATAAAGACTTATTATCTGAATTGGATCAGGTATTCATATGTAGGACACACACTGGCACACATACAGTTGAAAATGGAGGAAGACCGTGAGAGTGGATGACAGATCAGTTAACTCCTCAAACCTGTTTAACTGGTATGGAGGTGGAGGAGGTGCCAAATGGCTTTGTTTCCTCCACCTGCAGCAGGATTCTTCTTGAGACAGACTAACAACAAAGGGAAATTGACCCAGCAAAAACAAAAGAACTGACCGACACATTTTTCAGACATTCCTCGCAGTTTGTCCCATTCTTCGACTCACACGCTGCGAGAAAAGAAAATCAGTTTAGATAAAAGAAAACACAAAATGATCCACAGAGGGTAAATAAAGGAGTCAGTTCGAGGTGCTCAAATGTTTCCTCATTAAAGAAATAACTTTAATAATAGCTGGAAACACTGTGAGAGGTAGATTAAATGACGCATGAGCTCACTGTGGTTTTTGTAACTACTGCTAATCCTCATAGGACATTTTCCATAGAGACACAGCACAGTAAACACACAGGCTCCACACCAGTCATGTCAGCAGACTGCACAGGACAACAGCTGGGGTTATCTAAGTGTAGCCATTTTCCCTAAAATTAAGGTGTAAACAGACCAAGTCTCCTTGTTATGTGGTTGGTTGGGTTGGTTTGTGGCTAATCCAGCAGGTGTCTTTACTCTGAGGGGGGGTTGTTGAAAGCGACTCATTGTTCCCGTTTAGAGGTTTCAACAATACACAAAGATATGAAGCTAACAGAGGCAGACTGATATTAATGTAGTCACTGTTTATCTTTGTTTTATGTGAAGATTCATATGCTGAAACTCAGTCTTTATTTATCTTTTTGGTAAATTGTTTTATGAGAAATCTGAGACCAGAACAATTTATTTGAACTGTGGTCCTATATTACACTAAAGTGTTTTTGGTTGTTGTATGTCCTGTTCTATTCTATTATTCAAAATGTAAGATATAAGAGAGCTCAAAAACGAAATAAAAAAAGGGAAAATATTGTAATCTAAGATCAAAGCAGTGTTTTAATAAATCAGGTGTCTATTTGTTGCCTTTCACTTTTTCCTAGCACCTCATAAATCAAAACGATGGAACTAAAATCGATTAAAAGAAATGGAGAGTGTGTTTGTAGCAGCCATGAATTCCTCAATTATTCACTGATTCCCACTCCTACCTTGGTCAGGTGAAGACTTAGCGAAAACTGTCGCCAAACCGAAGAGAAGCAGCACAGCAGCGAGACAAATCCGTGAATCCATCATTACAGACGCACAATATTCCAGAAGTTATCCCTCAGACTCTTCGTCTAGGAAGATTTGCAAATCATGTGAGCGTAAAAACAGGAAATGTGTGTCGCTTGGATGCTGAAACTCGAGAAGTGAATTTACGGAGAAGGAACTGATCACTGAATCCTGACGCACGCTCAGTAGCCTACGCAAAAACTAGTGGGGGAGGAAGGTGTGTGCGTCTGCGTGCATTTTTACCTTGAAGGTAAAGTAAAGTAAACAAAGAAAAGTGTCTCCTCTCGTTTATATTAATATTAGGCAATAAAATTTCATTATATTTTCCCAATGTTTTCACTTCTTTTGCAGCATTTCACTAGTTTGGCTGATTGTATCAGTTTATATTCAGATATTGGGTACATGGCAAGATGCAGGCTATTTGGGCGTTTTAGACATTTTTGGAAGAGGAAGGTAGAAATTAATTAATTTAACATTTTTACATATACATATTATTACATTCTTTAAATCACTTGAAGTTTTCTCTATAATATTTGCTCTTCATGAACAGTTCTCTATAGTGACTAGTGGATAGGTATAGATAAATATGCAATATGGTAGTAAATCAGTGAAATCTGATAAGTTTACAGTAGAAATTGCTCCTTTTTTGGACCTGCTAACAACTGAAAGACATTGACAACTTGAGCCTCAATCAGAAGCTGTGGTTTATTGAGGAGAAAACAAGACGTGGTGTTTTGTATAAACTCAAAATGTTTTTTAAAAATAATCTAAATTGGCTATTTTTAAAGTAAATTGACATCATTTTGTTTCAATCTGCCCGTCGAAAAAGCAAATAAGCATATTTCCCCAAATCTCAAACTGTTCCTTAAATCTAAAAGAGTTGTTTTATTAGCTGTTAAATGAACATGGAGAAATGTTTCCTTTTATAATAGCGGAAATATAATAGTATAAAATGAAAATATAAGTGGAGTACAAGTAACTTGTGTAGTGCTCAAATAAATATCCTAAACCTTACTTTACTGATTGTGTGTCAGAATAAATTCACAAAGACAACATGAACTAGAGGACAATAATTCCAATAATTTATTAAAGCATAATTTTGTAAAGCCAGTTACAAATAAAAAAGAACAACACACATATCTCTCTCTTTCTCTTTTCTTTTTTTTATAACAAGCACAATGTTAATGACGATAATAAGCATAACCTAAGATAAGAACGGGCCCCACTCTGGCCGCCTGCGGCTGATAACAGGACCCTTTGTGATGAAGTTGCCCTTGGAAACGGATTTGGGATCAGAAATCCAACTTAATTTCTCTGCAGTAAACTCACTGATCACATGTCAGCCACTATGGGCAACTTCTTCCCACTCAGTGTAATATCAGTGATCTATGGTTCTGATATTCACTTATATCAGAACCATAGATATAGAATAACTAGAACAGACAGATCCAGGTTCCTCCTTACATATGGCTTATGGGTTCTCTGGTTCTCCTTTCCTTTTAGCCGAAACTAAAATAACTAAAAGTTCAAACAGGAACCTGTGAGTGAGTTCTGCTTATTCTAAATCCATAGGCAGGATCCCAGTGGGCTGTGTGTCTGAGACAGGGCCGTAGCTAACATTCAGGACACTGAGGTCATGTCCTTTGTGTCTTTTTGGTATTTTATCATAGGTGGTAAAGGGACATTTATTTCTTCAATGAAAAAACATGATTCAAGTGTTTTTAAGATTAAATGTGTTTTGTTTTTTTACTTGTATGTGCAGGCCAAAACAGAATGCTATTCCAGTTTAGTATGGGTTCCTACAAATTAAGTACCCATTCAACAAATGTACATTTTCAATTATGCTTCCAGAGAACCATATTGTCTCTGGTTTTCTTTTATATTTGACTTATAACAAATTGTATTTTTGGGGGTGCTGAAAATTCATGACCTCAGTATTACTAAAATCCTGGCTACGGCTCTGAGTGTGGCGCTTCAGGTAGACAAAACATTTCAACCTTTAAAGTTCCACTTCATTTAAATATCTGGCAAACCATAAATAATTTCAGGGCAAATATTAAACAGAAACTTGTTAAAAAAACTTCAGCTGAACAAAATGAGTTGGGTCATGTCTTGATATTAGTATGTTCTGTGATATCTAAGTATTCCCTCTAGATATTCAATGTTGGGAAACACTTTGTCTCCAAGGATTTGTTATACAAGATGGGATAATTATGTCTACCGGCAGTGCCACAGAGAGAGGTGACAGAACAGTGACTTCACTTTCAGTCCACCCACACACACACACACACACACACACACACACACACACACACACACACACACACACACACACACACACACACACACACACACACACACACACACACACACACACACACACACACACACACACACACACCTGTCAGCATTCCCAGCGATTAAAAGCACATCTGGGCCCATATCCTCACAGTGTCTTATCCTATCCGCTCCTCTTACACCAAGATTGTAAAATTCCAATATATTTGTATACATTATTCTTCCAAACACACCTTGCAATACATACAGTACAATTATAATTAAATAACCCTCTAACCCTTATAAGCCCATGCTTTTTCCCTCTAACTCACAATCACGTCACCATTCTTTGCAAATGTTAGTTATGTAAATACTTCTTAATTCCAAGGAATACACTCATTATAAATCACTTCTCATTTCCCTTTTCTTTTCCAACTGTTACACTATGAATACACACACACACACACACACGCACGCACACACACAGCAGCATTCCAGACACAGCACTTCAGGGTGGTTAAGATAGCAGAGGGCATACAGTACAGTAACAGTAGTAGTATCAGTAATAAAAATCACATGTTCATAAACAGGTTGGAAACATAAACAATCCGGAGCTCTTATGCGTTATTGTTCACTGATCTTAGTAAATAAATAAAATAAGAAAAGCATGAGCAGACAACGATATACAACACTGTATGACTCCAATTAATGCTGCAGAGTGATTTACAACAATGCATACGTGATCAAACACTGTGAAAACACAACCACCAAAGCAGCCTGTCTCATTATGGTCTGTGTTTTTAATAGTTATTTCTCTGTGAGTCACATTAATGGCACAGCCAGTGAATTATAGCATTGTTTTTGGACATACAGTAGTCATTATTAACACCATTCATTTGCATTTACCCAAGAGGTGTCACATTGTATTTAGTATGGCATCTGTACAGTGCAGTGGCCCACCAATAATTCAGTAATTACTCTTATAATGTGTGATATACAGTACAAAACAATACATGTTGGTTCATGTGTGTATGTGAATATACAGTAGATATATGTAGTGTGTATTACAAGTAGACATGGACAGGGAAAGGTTTTGTTTTATACTATTCTGGTTGATATTGTTCTCCCTGTAGTGCCGAGCGAGGCTGTTTCCCATGCACTGACTCTCCATGTCGAGTTAAACTTGGCCAGAGAGCCTCCAAAGCAAAACCTCTACTCTTTCTTCTTCTGAAGAATATCTCTTTGATATTGTTCCGAAATATTTAAAACCACTTCCTTTGGCTGTGTTTTCTTCTTGTGGCCACACGGTGGCACTGACGAGTGAGCGAGTGAACACTATATGTGGAGCTCATTTTCCCCTTTAGTAGCCCCGAAGAAGAATCATCATCGAGTCCTTTTTCTCAGTCACAAACAGATGCGATACAGCTGATGTAACACATAAACAACAGAAAGAGAACAAGAAAGAGAAAGCAAGCAAGAATTTAGCGTAATAACTTAATATCAACAGCAAACAAAGATGCAACAGGAGTGAGGACACGTGAAGAGAAAGAGAGAGACTCTTGAAAGTGGAGGAGTGAGAAAGAAACCGATTTAACTGAGAAAGTGTGGCTTTCTTCTGTCTGGCAGTGCACTGGGGGATGGGGGGGGTGGGGGGGGGCTTGTATTGGGCGGCTGAGTTGTGCTTGTTATTACTGAGTTTTGTCCGGAAAAAGGGAAGCGGAGAGAAGTTTGGAGTGTGCTTGAACATCTACATGCAGGACTACAACTGGCGGGTTATGTATTTGAAAGGACCGTCCCAAAAAACAGGTGGTTTTCTTTGACATGCACATTTTTAAATAGATCCCCCTATCCCAAGTGAGACCCAGGCCAGTAGTGTGCGTTTGGCTTCTGTGTCCTCCCATTCGATCATCCATCACTCTTGATTCAGCTTTGAGGAATAGCTGGTTGGTGCGACTGCCTCCATATAAAAACAACCAACCAATGCAGGGGGGCCAGAGGCGCCTGTGGCCCCTGGATGAACCGGGCTCTGATTGGTTTGTGGGAATCACCTGGCCCAGGTACTGCCGGTGCTGGTAATCGACATGGTGCTGCAGCGTTTCTTCACCACCATGTTAATGTAGGCCCTCATGATCTTGGTGATCTCGCCAACCTAAAGACAGAGAATGAAGTGATTGGTTTATAGTTTTCCAGCGGTGATATTATCTTTTATTTATGAGAAGAGAGTCTCGTTGAAATAGAAAATATGATTGTACATGATTGAATAAACGAAAACATGTAAAGTTAGATGTCTCTGCCTTCAATTCATAAAAACTCCTTTAAAGTCATCCAGAGGAACCAGTTCTCTTTAATAAAGTTGATCAAATAAATGACCACTTTCGGATCCTCATCAAAAATAACAAACAAATAAATCAACATTTTATAGACAAAATAAGTAATGAAAAGATTAAACTAATCTGCAGGTGCAGCTAGGGAGTACCGAAATCCAGTTCCGATTCGCAGCCCTTAAAGGTGGGGTAGGTAAGTTTGAGAAACCGGCTCGAGATACACTTTTTGTTATATTCCATGGAATGCTCTTAACATCCCGATAGCAATGAATATCTTAAGTGCTTTGACAAAAGATCCATAAAAAAATGTCATCTGTGGAAGCCGTAGTACTGTAAAAAGCACGACCAATCATTTTAGCCGGCCCGGCTAAAATAACTGGATGGCCTACCTGCCTGTCAGCCTTCCATCTGTGCACAAACTTATCTCGTGCCCTCATTGGTCATGTGTGCGTTCGTGTGTGTTGGAGGAGGGGCTCTGTAAGGAAGTGGCAGATTTTTTCCGGTTGTGTATTTTCAAATTCTAGCACACTCGAGCCGGTTTCTCAAACTTACCTACCCCACCTTTAAAAGGAAGAAAAAATACTTGAAAATGATAAAAGTTAGTAAATATTGAGCTCTCACCAGTGGTGTCTCGAAGTACATCTCCCTCTCGTCCACGATGATCTTGTAGGTGCAGGGCTGTGACGCCCCAAAGAAGGTGATGTGAACGTACTGGAAGGTCTCCAGGGGCTTCGGATCGCCTCGCTTATACACCGACAAGTTGTCAGCACTCACACTCAGCCACAGATCATGAGGGAAACCACCCTCTTTACACTGCAGAAAACAAGAAGAAGAAGAGGTTACTTAGTGGTTTTTGGAACAATCCTTGCTATCCACCATTTGCTCTACTATTCTCTCACCTCCACATCAAACAGAGTAGATCCATATCCAGGCCACTCCTTGCTAATGCTCATGTATTTAAGCATGGCCTGATGCTGGGTCATGCCCTGCAGCCGGGTCCACTTCTCCAGCACGCTGGTCCGTGTGGCCGACGTCTCCTCCTTCACCCACATCTCGTGCATCTGCTCCTCCTCCACCTGCAATGACAGCCAATCAATGAAGAACACTTAGAGTTTCTTAAAGAAATTCAGAAAGCAAATCCAGTTTCTTAGGGAGGTCCATCTTTGATTTTGTAAACCAGACTAGTTTGAACGATCATGTTTCATCCTTAATCTTATGTTAATCGATAAACAAAAAACAAGTTACTTTGTTAATGCCTACATATTTCAGCTGAAGGGGGACTTTATTACTTCTGTGTAACATTTTGGGAACCAGACTCTTCATCAAAACTCTGACTTTTTTTACAGGACTAAACGTGTGTGTGCAAGTTTGAGCTCTCTAACTAGAAATTATGTGAACTTAACATTTTTTGCCACCATTTTTTATTTTGTGTAACGCTTGCTAAAGACTGCAAAGAACTTTAAAATGTCTGCACTCTGTGGTTATACAAACATAAAGTATACATCATTTGCAGTCAAATGTGCTCCACTTGCACCACTGACCTTCTGCTTCTTCAGAGACCCAGTTTTAAAACTTCTCCTCAGGCTGCCGTCCAGGAAGCTCGGGGTCCTTCGTTTCTCGACCCCCACGCCCCCCGGTCCTCCCACCGCTCCCTTCCCGTCTCCTGCTCCTGCTCCTCCTCCTCCGGCTCCACCTGCCGCCCCAGCACCCTGCTTGGTGGAGTGAAGGATGCGATTGCGGAGGCGTCTGACAGGATAAACGCTACCCAGGCTCCATCCGGCTCGTCCTGCCCCGTCGCCGTGGAGATACTGGAGACGTAAAGCGGCCAAGTGCTGCAAAGCCTCCTCTGAGGCCGGGAAGTGACCGCTTATCAAAGACTCATGAGCCTGAGAGAGAAAACAACAACATTTATTGTGTATCATACAGATCTTAATTTGTTTGTTTTGCAGCAGTGTGGTTCTAACACAAGTAATCCATTGATTTAATAACATTAGTTTTTCCACTAAGCAAGTAAAATATCCCTTTATAAAAGGGATTACAAACAGTGTAAAGATGTAACTTTTATGGTTATTTTAGTGATATTCCCTGAATCTTTTAAAACTTCAAGGCTACCACATTTGCCTTTCATAAAAATAGGAGTAATGAGTGTTTCAAAAAATTGCAGAGGGCACTAGGTGCTGAAAACATAGATCAATGTACGTATATTAGGTTTAGGAAAACCTGAAATCTGTCAACTACTGTCAAAAATCCATCTGTTTTCTTGATTAAGCCATCATTTATTTTGCATCGATCCAATCTTGTTCTACTTTGATTTTGAAATTAAGTTCAATTAAGTATTAAGTAGTGATATTATTATTGAGAAAGATATATCATTTCAATTGGTAAAATTATGAGACAGTGTGTTGTGTAAAGCTTACCTGCTCAAACATAAACGCAAACTCCACTCCTTCTTTTGGCATGCTCTCTACATCCAAGAAGCAGTAGAGCTTGAAGTAGAGTTTCCATTCTCCTTCTTCCTCCTCTTCGTCACTGCCTGCCAACCTGGATAAAACAGTAGACCCAAGTTAAGTAACCATACAGTATGACCAAAACAATCCACTTACCAGTTATTAATCATTCTAGATCAGTATGTTGACTAGATGACAGCGGTATACATACCTTTCAAACTTGGCCAGAACATCTGCCACGATCACTCTGCTCTCCAAAGCTCGGTCTGTGCAGGAGTTGTGTTCAAACAGAGAAAACAGGTTCTTGCTCTCCTCCATGGCCAAGCCTCTGATCAACTTCTCCACAACCTGCAGCAGCAACATAAAAACACAGACATTTTAAAAACCGCACAAAACCGCACACAGTAATACAACCATTTGGTTGTAGGTCTTAAAATATGTTTTACTGAGAGGATGCTATGCCAGATTCTGAGTGTGTTTTGTTATGTGCACCTCTCCAGCTGTGGTGTGTGAATTGATGGAGATCTTGCAGGAGCCTCCTCCGTGGCAGTAGACGATGGTGCTCATCTCCTGTCTCACCAGCAGGGCGGCGATCTCCTCCTGAGAGGGGACAAACTCACGAGTCTTGGTCTTCTTCAGGGATTCCCCAATGAAACCAGCGTAACGCTCGATATCCGTACCAGGATAACGCTCCCGTACCCTGAGTGAGATAACATTTTTTGCCATTAATGATAGATCAAGAACAGCACAATACAAAATGCAGAAACAAACACTCACCTCTTCTGGTGGAAGCGGAGGTATCTGATGATGACTCGACTGGGGAGGAAGGTGCAGCTCATGCAGGTGAGCAGGTGCCAGTGAGCCCGGTTGGCGGGGCTGTTAGGCTGAGGCACATGATTGGTCTGCTTGATCACCTGACAATATACCTGAAAAACAGAAATGTCGATTTGAGATATGTGAAGTTTGAATTAATCTTTATCAGTAAACTGAAATATCAGACCCTTTCTGAAATATTAGGTTTATATTAAAGTGCTTTTATTACATGTCCTTTTGTCATGTGAGAGAATCGCCTAAATCTATTTATTTACAGTTTTTGGAATGTTTATTCTAGCATTTAGTACCTCATCCCTGAGAGGGCGCAGGTCCTGGCAGGTCTGCAGGATGCCCTGAATGATGGGCACTGTGTCCGCCAGCGTCTCCATCTCCTGCAGGGAGTTGAAAACTCTCACCGCCTCATCCTGCAGACTGGCATAGCCCTGCTGCCTTTGGACTGCACACAGACAAGGATAATGGAAAAAGGTGAGCAAAGACAGAGAAGAGGAAAAAAAACATGTAGCTTATCAAAGATGCAAGAAATAAAAAAGGAATATTGTGATGATTAGAGCTTTTTTAATCTTTGTTCAGGCAAGCAAGAGTTGTAATTTAATTTGAGGAGGCATAGACTAGTTTGTTTTGGACCTGCATAGGGCAGTTACATGTATGGAAGCTTTAAAAGCACAACAACTGGGAAAGCAGAAGGAGAAGACAAGGAAGAAACAGAAGAAAAAACTAAGCTGCCCCAGTCAAAGAGTCAGAGAATATCGTCATTTGTCTTTTCCTAACCATTTTTTCCTGACCTTGATTGTAAAAAACATGAAGTTAATGAAAGATGTGAAGGAGGATTCAGAGGGTCTTAGGGAAAATATAAAATATGTTTCATAAAGCATGGTCCAGTGTACCCTAAGTGTATAGGAAAGTAAGTACTTAAGCCCTTTTCCTCGGCATCTACAAAATCGACCAGCTCTAATAACGGCTGCTGCTTCAGCTCATTTCACTCAAATAGGAACTGTAGTTCCAGTAATCCAAAATTCGATTCACAGGTAGCAAATAAGCTTGACTCGGACAAGATACGTCTCAGGATAGTTTGTTTGACTCTTTACTTAAACAAAAGGTATTAAATACAAACACATATTTTTCTCAGGTCAAAAATCGATGTTGCTCTGTGCTTCTTTCTCCTTCTCACACACACACATTCACCAGAAGCTGCCGTCGGCTATAACGTCTCGTAATCACAAACAGCTGCGGTCGTCTATGCCGTCAATTTCACACGGCTGGTTCAAATAAATGATATAATAGCACTAACAACAAAGGATTATAATATTCAAATATATCAAACTATACATTTTAACATATGGCTCGTACAGGAACCTTCCTAAGCAAAAAAGACAATTTGACTCCAGTCCAAGCTCTAGAGTTTAGGTTGTTGAGTTTTACTTACGGATGGTGACCTCTCCGTAAGGGAGGGGCAGTAAAGGCGAGTGCAGAGGATGCTGAGTGTATCTGAGGATGGGGTTCCTCCGGTACATCTGCTCCACGATGTCTGCGTTTACACTGTTCTCCTGAGAGCACACAAGATCAAATTCAAGTTAGAAGTCAGTGCATGTTAATACATTTGAATATGCTTACTTAACAGATGTGTTTTTGTTTACCTTGATGTCTCTGATGAGCTGCAGAGTCGGGGTCTCTATCGGGGTCTTGCTGTCTATGACTCCCTGTATGGCAGCTGTCCACCTCATGGCCTCGTTCAGCATCTTGGTGTAGAGGCGGTAGGAATGCTTCCTCCCGTAGACGATGATGTTCCAGTAACCTGTCAAAACAGCAATCATATATTACTACTTACGTAATAAACCAAAATGATCTTGCTACATGTAATCTCAAACCTCCTACGTCTAATCCCGGATTACATTTGCCCTTTCGCTTCACTTCTCTTTGCCCACCTGTCTCCCTGTGCACCCGTTCATCCGGCTGAATGATTGAGCAGAGCGAGTTAAGGACCAGAGTTCCCATCTTGGAGGAGTTTCGCTCCGAGCTCTTGTAGTAATCCAGAGAGCCGTGGGTCAAAACAATCCAGCGCTTCTTCAGCTTCAGGGAGGTGCTCTTAGCATTCGTCTTCATCTCCTTTTGGAGCCAGCCTGAAAGAGAGATAAAGAGAGAGCGAAGGAGATCAGAGGAAAGATGTAATTAATGTGTAGAGGATCAGCAGGGGCATACAATTAATTTATATCATGATCCGCACGTCTTTTCGTATTGCAAACAAATATTATGTTGCGATATTTTAATTCAAAATCTGTCATAAAATGAGGTCTTTAAAAAAAGTATAATAAAAATAAGAATAAAATTCCTATTAAACTAAACTTATTTGTAATGGTTAGTGTACCTAAAGTAAACAGAGTTATTATGTTATTATATATTTTAACACACTGACATACCATTTAAACAAACATTTATCACCATCCATACCGGACCCTATTTTACAAGGTTTTTAATAAATCCCCCAAATGTTTTGTGATGAAATGAGTTCTCACCTCTGCACAGGAACTCCTGTCCATCTATCCTGGCGTCTCCTTTGGGTTTCTGCAGCAGACTGATCCAGTGATGCATCTCCTCCGGTGTGTCGCTGTTGCAGTGGATCACACGGTTTGCCGTGATGATGACAAAAGAGTTGGGCCTGCAAAGGTCAAATGATAGACTTTTAGTTATAAAATTCCACCTAAGGATACTTAAGGGTATCCAAAAGTTGTATTTATAAATCAATAGTGATGGCATATTGGGTTTTCCAGTTAATTTTGATATGCAAACTAGAATCTAATGATTCTATCTACACAGAGAATGGACTGATTTTTTGCAAGGGATTTTCATTTTCCATTTATGCTTTAAAAACATAAAAAATTTGCTAAACTGTTCATAAACTGCTTCTTCTATTAACCATTTGTAGGGACTGACACCACATCAAAGCTTTACAATTTCACTTATTTGAAAATATTGAAGAAAGATATTCAAAGTTAATCAGCCTTTCCTTCCTTTTTCAATCATTAATTCAACTTACCGATCAGGGTTGTCTGAAGCACAAACCGAGTCGATCAGCCCCACATCCAGAGTTCCCTGAAGGACGAAGGAGAAGAATTTAAACGTTTATTAATGTTGCTCTATTGCTTCTACTGTGAACTGTAAGCAATTCTAAAGTCATCTAACTCAACACAAGCCACAACATAGTATTGAATAACTTAAACACAAAACAGGTTATTGGCATGTTGTTGTTGAGACTGACCACAGCGTTCTTTGGGTTGGCCTGTTCATGGGACATCTCCAGCAGCTGCTCAGGAGTGCACACACGCACCTTACTGAGCATATTAAACCACCCACTGCACAGAAAGACATAGTCACACATTACAAGTTTGAATAAATTAATATATTTCTGAAGTTCTTGAAGTTATCTACAAAATCTCCACCACACCTTGCATCCTCTGGCGACTCAGCAAACACCTGATACGTCCTGTCATCTGTCACGATGTTCAAAGCGTTCTCCTTCTCATGGTTATTCACTATCTCTCTGTAAACATACAAACAGTGCACATCTGAAACCTCTAGGCGTTGAAACAGAGAAATAGTGTATATCTGTTTGTTTTTTGTCTATGGAGCTTTCTGGAAGTCTTACTTGGCAGCTTTGATGTCGATGGTTCCCTTCAGCTTCTCCTCGCTGTCGTTCTCGTAGTACATCAGTTTACAGTCTCTCAGCACAAACCAGCGCATCTTCCAGTTTCTGAGGCAGAAGAGAAACAATAAAAAAAAGCCAAGACAAACTAATCTAGACTCTATAAAGGTTTATGTAAATGAAACATGCTCTTTATGGACTTCTTGATCTAGAATACAAGTGTATTAAGCTTATTTTTATGGAATACCTATTACCTCAGGCTAACTTTATATATAGAAAAGAATGGAAGTGACATAATGCTTAATCTATATAAGTCCCATTTAAAACTTGAAAAATATAATTTAGCTTTCTGAATAATCTTTTGGATTTCAAGTGGTTGTCATTTGCATACTATATATTTTTTTTTAATTACATTTTCACACATGTAACTGTTTTATATCTTATGCACAGCCTCTTGTTGTGTTTTATGCCATTTACAATATATTTAAAGTGAACCTATCATGCTATATTTGAATAATATAGTATAGGATCATACCTATATAAGGCATATTTATATATATATTTTTTTCAAAATACCAAACAGATCATGCATTTTAGCCATGCCTCATTTTGCTCAATTTGACATTTTTTAGCTCTGTTTTTGCAAGGGCTGATTCTGTGAGAACAGCACCATCTACAGGCCTGGCATATGTACTACAGCGTCTCCAGCGCTTTCGAACGGCAATGGCCGTGGCTGTCTCCTCCTGATTGGTGGAGTTGGCCCAATAGCCGTAGCGCCACTGTCCTGACGTCAGGACAGTGTTCAAATCTGGATCAGTTTTTATCAGATCCGTTGCAGCCCCTTTTTTAGAGATTTGGGTATGGAGGAAAATAGAGAGGGTTGTGTTTTCTGACACTTGGTGAGTTCCCTGGAACACCGGGGACACATATTCATGTGTAAAAGACGTACAAAAGTGCATTTTGCATGATAGGTCCCCTTTAAGGTAATTCAAATGTATTTATGTTCTTTGAATATTTGAAACAGTACTTATGTGTAAGTTGTTTATTATAGAATAACAAAACCAAGCAGCAAACAACATACTCTTTACCAAGAAGAAACTGTACTACTCTTTCCACTTAAATGTAATCTTTATCCTATGTATTTACTTAGACAATGTACTATAGTTAAGAAGATAATGTTGTAGAATATGAACAAAGAATCGAGAAGTAAAATCTCAGAAAGGTATACGCTCGAGTGGGACACTGAAGTCTTCCAGCTCTGCAGAGGGCTCAAAGCGTTCGTTAGACAACACAGATAGTCACTCACATATTCATCATTCAAACCAACATTGCACTGAACATCACTCACAACAAAGATTGTGGTTTATATAGCATGCAGTCTGCACTCAGTAACAACTACAACAACCTCCGTGAGAGAGTCGAGAGTCCTCCTCCCTTCTTGTAGAGCCAGCCGGACTTCAGAGACTCCTGTTTGGACCGGAACCACATGAAGGTTTCATCCTTCAGCACGCACCAACGCCTCCTCCACGGGATCATCAGACCAGCTGAGGGAGCACAGAATAAAATACCGTCATACAAATTGTTGGGGAAATATTTTCCTAGGCCCATAACTATGACCCAGTTTATCAGTTTGTACTGACCTCACTGAGCTCAGGCACCTGTAGCCTTTGGAGCTGTGCTCTCAGTCTTTTGTCTCCCTGTACCTGCCTGTTGGCGTCAGCTGGTAAAGGTGTTATGGTTTTATCTTGTTATGCACAATGTTGATTATTCTCTCTCTACCAGCTAAATACATGGGTCTGGGGTAGAGATCGTCAGAATAGGTTTGGCATCTACTGTGTCAACTCGTGGCACACGACATGTCTTGTGAATTCTCCGCCCGAAGCTCCAAATAAACCATCAGTGTTTGCCATCAAAGTTCCTGCTCTCCTCATGTCTCTCTGAGTCCTATCTCCATTGCTTCAGAAGGTTCCATCACACAAATAACAAATGAAATGGTGTAGATAGTTTCATTTTAAAATGAGAGAGAAAAGGGTTCAAGAAACACAGATAATATATCGTAAACCCACCCTTCATGTAGAGGAAGCCATGGAAATATGGTGGTCCATTCCCATTAAACAAGGTCACTCTGCCATTGTTCACTTCTTCATCAGTGTCCATCATGCCATCATGTTCATCGTCACTGTCTGCATACTGCAACATCATACAAAAACATGAATTATTTATTGCACATAATAACAAATCAACAAGAGAAGGAACATCACATTATCGGATTTCCCTTCATCAAAACGTAGTAGAATTTCAAATGTTCATTGCAGAGCTGCTCATACATGTCTGCGTGCACGCGTGTGAGGATGCGTGTGAGTGTGTGTCCTCACAGAGTCGGAGCTGCCTCTGTAGGACTCGATGCTGGCGTTGGTGCACGTGGACTTCCTCGGGTGCTCCTCGTCCGTCGCGGCGGCGCTCCCGCGGTTGCTCCCGGATACGGAGCTGTCGTCCCCGGCGTTGACGGAGCCGTCCTCCTCCTCCTGGTCGTAGTCGGACTCGGTGTCGGCCGGCATGCTGTAGATGGGCTCCTCTCCGTCCGCCAGGCTCTCCACCATGCTCACCTGCCTCTCTGAGTCTCCATCTTCCTTTTCCCCGTCTCCTGGGGGAGGTGGTGGAGGAGGAGGAGGAGGAGGAGGAGGAGGAGCACCATCCTCAGGTGGAGGGGGAGGAATTCCAGGAACAGGGGCACCGTTTGCGGGCAGAGGGGTTGGAGGAGGCACTGTCCCCTCTGCGAACGCAGGCGGCGGAGGAGGGAGGTGAGCGAATATTTCCTGATCGATGGGAGCGTCTGTCTCAGCAGGAGGAGGGAAGTCAGGGAGGGGGATGCACTCGTCCTCAGCATGGAACCCCTCGTCCACCTCCTCCTCTTTGGACGCTCCTCTGGTGGCATTTGCAGGTTTCGGGGGTTTCGCCTCTGCAGCAGGCTGGGGCGCCACCTCTGCTCCCATCGAAGGGTCCACGCCTCCGAAGTTCAGGAGGTCGATGAGCTCCGTGGCTTTGCGGGACGCCTCCTTCTTCATGCGTTTGATCTCAGCGTCCCGCCGCAGCTGCAGCTCCTGTTTGGAGGACTCACACAGCTGGGACACCTCGTCCTCTCGCTTCTTCTGCAGGCGCTCGATCTCTCGCTCCAACTGCAGGATATCTTCCATCTGCCGGGCCTCAACCTAGATGGTAGGAGAGAAGAGAAGGGGCAAAATAAATATCAATACTTGCTTTATTCTGTATTAATAGGAAGAATCAAATGTGTTAGAGTTGTAGAAAACACACTAAAGGATTATCATCGTCCTCTGGTGATTCAGCCTTCTTCTCAGCTCCTTCCTTTTTCTCCTCCTCCGCCCCCTCGGCTTTCTTCTTCTCTGCGTCCTCTTTCTTCTTCTTCTCCTCTCTTATTTTCCGAACGCGAGTACGAGCGACCTGACCTCGCCTGTGTCTCTGCAGCACCAGCACTGCCTTACGTTGCCTCACAAACCGCCTGCGCTGGAGGTGCCTTCTGAGGTGTTTCTGGAGCGTGACGACACTGGCGCGAGCACGCTTGAAGAACTTCCTGTGGACAACGAGAAAAAACATACAGCGAATAGGAAATGGTACAAATACATTTAGAATGTCTTTTAGAAGGGTCTTACTTAGCACAGAAAGTGAGAAGGTGGGCTCGAATGATCATGGCAGCTTGACGTCGAACTTCATCTCTGTCTTTCTCCAAACGCTGCTCCAGAGCCTCCTTCATAAACACCTGCAGAACAAAGGTGAATCGTTCGGAGGAAGTTCTCTAATGTGATGTAGAAAACTTGTAAAGACTTGAAAGCTTTGTAGAGTCTGAAATAGAGTTTCTGAATACTACCACATGTTACCTTGGTCTTGCCTAACTGCCATTCTTTCTTGGTCTTGTCATATCTGTACAGAAGGTCTGTACATTTCTTCTTATCATCTCCTGCTGCTGATGATAGGGATTTCTCTTTCTGAATGATTTTATACCTGACAGGCAGAAGAGAAAGAGAACAAATAAAGAAAAGATCTCAGCAAAAGGGTCAAACAATCGGAGGACACTTGTAGATTTAGAGATACTTACCGATTGGCAAAATCTTTAAAAGTTCTGCGGACGGGGAACCCGGCCCGACGGATTTTCACTGTCTCCAACATCCCAGAATACCTCAGCTGGTTCAGGACGACCTCAGGGTTAAACACACTTGGATTCTACAAGTAAAAAGATAACAATGAATTAACATTAATGTTTAAGATTACTGATACTTCATTAGGGCATTGCTAAACAGGCTTTTATGTGAATTTGAGTACCAAGACGGAATGAGACTGACCTTTTCCATGTTTGGCTTAATGCAGCGAATGAAGAAAGGGTTGGAGACACTCAGAGTGGCCATGAGAGAATGTAGTGAGTCCTAAAGACACAGAGAAAAGAAAATGTTTACATATATTTGCATTTATTTCAGATGATATTGAATAATTGTCACTTGCAAGAAAGTAAAACACCCAACAAGTGGTAGTAAAGCTGAAACATTAGTCAATACTTCTATTAGCTAAGCGACAGAACGATTGATCATCTAAGTTATTTTATCATAAGAAAAATGCTAATTTCCAGGTTTTTCGTTTTTTTCGTAATACTGTACGGACTATGTGTGGGATAGAACAGCTTGAAGCTCAATTCTTTTCCCAGCTCCCTGTGGTGCTGACCTTTAAAACCATTTTTGTTTACGAGTTGCCTGTTATTTTAGAAATGTAATGATCTTAATCTGCTTGCATCACTCACTCTGAACTGGGAGCTCACGGTGGGTTTGCGTCGGGCTGTTCCCATCTTCTCCTCGTTGTTCCTGCTGCCGACCTTCTCAAACAAGTCGTAGATGAAGTCCAGTCTGGGGCAACATAAACAAAAATGGATTACATACCTACATATGATAAGTTATGTCAGTGGAAATGTCAGAACTAAAAACTAAAATGAGGTATAAACTGCTCCCGTTAACCCTTTTTGAAATTATTTTGAGGTCTTAAATTAGTATGTCATGGATTCTTGCCAATTTTAAAATGTCACAATGGTGAAAAACACATTTCTATATATTTCTTTATTTGTGAAAAGTTGACATTTCGATGATTGTGAATTATAGTTTTCACCTTATATTGACAGTTTAATTCTAGTCAATGTAAAATGTAGAACACATTTCATCAAAGATTCATATCAGTTCAAACAACTGAAAGCATTCCTTTTTTTGAATGACTTGGTACCGTTTTACTTTTCCAATAAACTATTTATTTAAACTGTGTGAATGTCTTGCCTGCTGTCCTTAAGCATGTTTAGGATGTCGTCTCTGAAGGTGTCTCTGTTCTTCTCCAGGATCCCTCGACCATCATAAAGGACCTGACCAAGAAAGACAGGTTCATCATGAATCTCCCGGACTTTGAGACAGTAACAAACACATCATGTTGACATAAAGCGGCTCAGTTATACATCTCTCACCTCCCCAGCATAATGTTTGATACCAAACTGATGATCGCCAAGTCTGGGCTTGAAGTAGAAAGGGTTTGTCTGCAGAAAACAGGAAAATAGCACAAAGGGAAATTAAATAAATGTACGTGTACCACTTAGCTCAACATACTCTTATGCAATAATGCATGCCGAATGTAAAAAACTCACAGCGTGTCGGCTGTGCAGCTTCTCCAGCAGAGTGAAGTCAGTTCCTTTGGGGAATCGGCTCTCTTCATTCACCAGCGCCAACAGGCCCAGTTTCTAAGAGAGAGAGAGAGAGAGAGAGAGAGAGAGAGAGAGAGAGAGGGGAACACCATAATGTTATTCTATTAGCTTTATGAAATCAGCACCATTTTCTAAGATATCAGTCTGATATTATTAGATCAGTTTACAGAGAGCATCCCAGGCTTACAGCACATCCTTTTATTTTAACTCACTTCAGCTCAACTCTGATAGAGAAAAGTCTGTGCTGTAGAAAATCCTGATGATGAACACAATATTTCTACTTCCAGGTCAGATGCAAAGATGATACATAGATTTTAAAACGTTAAACCTATTCATGTATAGATTAATCAATGTTTTACCTTTTCTATAAGGTCCAGACACTCTGCATTGTCCATCCAGTCTATGGCGTCCCACTGGACACCTTCCCTGTAGAGGTAACCCAAACAATTACACACGGAGAATGGATGTACACTACAGCATTTAATTCAACTAATTAAATATGTAACACTCTGTTAATGTCTTAGAAAGATTGCATGCTTGTGAATGTAATGGTCAACCCTTTTAAATCACTTCTTGAAAGATCCTTAAAAATGTTGGCGTTTTTATTTACATTTAATTAACTTTTTAAGTACATTATATTTATAATAAACATACTTTTATGGCTGAACCTAATGTTTGTACATGATACCTTAAAGTTGTATGTTTTTCATATTGTTATATTGGTGTCAATAACCCTAACCCTCAATAAACTAAACAACTCACAAACGGTTAATATCAAGTCATTGTTTATTCAGGTTTGTATTGATATAATGTATGTAGAAGTTCACCTGTTGTACTCGAGCTGCTCCAGGGAGAAGATATGCTTGTTGAAGTATTCCTGAAGCTTCTCGTTGGCGTAGTTGATGTTAAACTGCTCGAATCGATTCACCTGGACACATAGAAAAATAACTTTGATATAGATATGTATATAGATGTATAAAGATCGGCATGCATGTGTGTGTGTGAAAAACAGCTTCCAGCTAAACAGTTTGTTTCCTACCTGAAAGTTCTCAAAGCCGAAGATGTCGAGGATGCCGATGGATTTGAAGTTTTCCTTCCCTTTGATCTTCTGATTTATTTTGAGGATGATCCAGGAGAAACACTGGGAATATAACGCCATGGCAACAGAATCCCGGGAATCCACCGCCTGTTAGGATGAGAGTGTGAGTGTATCAGGAAGAGATCGATCAAAAGAGGGAGAATACATGTATGGATATAAGTGTGTGTGATGACCTGCTCTATAGTGAGTGGCGAGCAGATTTCCTCTCCTCTGAGGATTATTGAGCGCTGAGTCAACACTTCGGACAGCTGGAAGGTATCCAGGCCCAGCAGCTCACTGGCGTTAGTGATCACTGAACGATGGAAAAAGATGAGTTTACACTTCTATCAGGTTTTACTTTCCCTAACTTTCCTCACACAAGTCGTGCACTCACCTTGCTTGGTGGTGATCTGGGCTCCTCCTGCAGTCATGAACTCGATGTTTCCCAGCTGTAAGACTCCTGACAGCAGCTTAAACATGTCTCTGATCTCCTCCTCTGCAAAGTCCAACACCTTCAGTGCCTCCTACACGCAGGAAAAACACACAGGTAAAGGGATGAGGTGCTACCAACAGATGAGGTGCTCTTAATATCGCAATATAATCATTTTAAAAAATCTCAATATAGTACCACCGCAAATTCTGAATAAAAAAGAGAGAGGTTTTATAAATTGTGTGGAGCTGCTCCTAAGGCAGAAATCATTTTTACTTCGGGATGCTATACAAAAAAGAAATGTAAAAAAGACACTTCAAAATCTAGCACATTTTGGGGACATTTTAAAGACATAACTTATATTATTTATATTGTATGTGCTGCTATTAGCAAGCTGAAAAATCCCTTTATGGCTTATAAATATATTTTATATATTATTTATTTTTGTTAGTTTCGTAGTTATGGTTTAGCAACACTCAAATTCAAATCCCAGATGCAATTTTTGTCCTTCAGTATGCATTTTTGTAATGCATTTAATGCAAATCTGTTATACCTGCTGATAAATAGAATAGTAAAAAAAGGAAAAACAACAACCTGGCAAAAGGTAAAAACATGTAGAGCAATTGTATTAATAATACTGGACAGTCATCTTCTAACTAGTTTAGCAATCTGCATGGAAGCTAGTCAAGGAAATGTTTGTAAATCCACTTGACAGAGATAATACTGACCATGACACTGTTATACAGTTCTTTGTCATTCAGGCTCTTGTCCTTCATGCATCCTGATTGGTTGAGGTAGTGGAAAGATTCAGGAGGGTCTTCCAGGAAGTAGAGACCTGATAAAGGAGAAAATATATAAAGTCAGGGTGCTACTGACAGAGATGCACATTGAGATACCTTACTGCACTCAGATGATGTAGATAGAGTCTGTATAAGTTCCAGTGAAAAAACAAAAACATGCTTTGACTGATAACAACACAATCTGATGCTAGATCTTTTTGTATCACCATTGCCAGTCTCTGGTAAATGTATAATGTACGTCTTGATAATTGGACCTTTGTGTGCTTTTACTTACTTTTATTGTCTTTGTTAGCACCTGACAGCAGAGCGTAGAAGATGTGGTAGTTTCGTTCTCCAGGGTTTTGTCGCACCACTCGGTTCTAGAGTAAAATCATTTGCAGAAAAGCCACCATTACTATTCATTATGATTCACAATGCAACGCTGACAAATCACTCCTAATGAATTTTAACTTGATATGTGCAGACTCCAGACGTGCTTACCTTTTCCAGTAAATCTTAAAGGTAGACAGTCAAGGAATAAACAATAAAACCTGAGTTCTTCTAAGACACATATGAATCACATACAAATTAAAGTGCATTTGCTACAAATATACAGATTGTGTATATGAATATAAGGATACAGTCGATGACGCAGCCTCCCTGGATGTTGCCTCCCTCAGAGAAGTGAAGCTGTATAAACTTCCCAAAGCGACTGGAGTTGTTGTTGTAAACAGTCTTAGCATTACCGAAAGCTTCCATGATCGGACTGAAAGAAGAAGATACTGCAGTGAGTGCATTTGGTCTAGTCAGCATTTATCTGTGCATGCAGCGTATAATACAGTATACCCATCATGCACTGCAGAGGCCATTCATTATGTTTCTCCTAAAGCAACATTGTTTTACAGATCTTAACTCATCTATAGAAAACTGACTGAATAATTAATGCTTTTCAGCAATGTTCTGCTTTATATACAATAATCACAAACATCCATACAGTAAGTGGACGATACAAACACCGAACTCTCCCACAGTATCTGGGTTTGCCTAAATACAATATGTCTGTTATTATTTTGTTGATGGAAAGAGTCATCTTTTAAACAAAACTGCCAAACAGTTGTTGCTAGCATCCTCTCAAATGTAAGGTGGTGTCTCTTCTCTCTTTCATATCACTGTAAACTAAAAATATTTGGGTTTCGGGCAAATGAATAGGGCAAAAGAGACATCTGAATGTTTTTCCTTGTGACAGTAATTTTCTTTTGCACTACTTTAAAACCCAAAACAATGAATTGTAATTATTCAGTAGGTTGATTGAAATAATATAATCATTAGTTGCATTTAAAGAGCTTAAAAAATGTGCTTTTAATGACCTCATTTAGACTTGTACTTGATGACTTTTGACATATCAAACATGCAACATGGTCTAGAAAGTCTTTAAGTCATGATGTTTTCTTAAACAAACTTGAAACTCAATCTGGACTTCTTTTGAATAACCTTAGAGTCAGACTTGTCCAAAAATACTTAAGAATTGCTTTGGCAGTGTTAGTAAAGGTACAGGAAAGTGTGTCGTCTCCTCTTCATTGTGCTCATATATACCTGCTCTGCACGATGGCCTGCTCCACTCGTGTACTCTTCTCCGTTGGGGCAGTCCCGGCCGAGTTCTGGCTCATCACCGACAGGAACTGAAGCAACAGCTTAGTGCTCTCCGTCTTCCCTGCCCCCGATTCACCACTGGAGAACACACACACAATTTAATTAAATACACTGTGACCTTCTCTGACATTCCCTTATCTCAAACTGTTCTGGTCGTTTAATTGATTGAATTGATTTGCAGAGATCTTGCATTATCTCAGAGTCTATCTCAATCAGGAATGAAGAGAGACAAAGCCTGGGTGTAATTGAGCACGGTGAGATTTCTGACCCTACTTCTAAATTAGCAAAGCAAGCAATGAGTAGTTAACTAACTTCATCCAATTATTTTTTTATTATTGGAGGAGGGATGGGTTTTTTTTTATCCACAAATGCAGATGCTTTCTCTATTTCATCAACTAGTAATACACACATTATAGATTTTTCTTTTACAAAAGGTGAAAAGATGTTTATGGTAACTGACTCCTGGTTTTAGCTACATGGACAACAAAGCAGACATTCAGGGATATAAAACATGCATTGGTAACTCTGGTTAAGTAGGACAGTAGGAAATGTTGGATTTTCTAAAATAAAACTACCCTAATGCCTGCTGGGATATGCTACCGTCCCCTGTGATAGAGGATGTAATAAATAAATGGATTTATGGCTTGGAAGACAGACTGATAGATGGATAAAGCGTGATATAATCACCAAAAAAGCCTCCATGGTTGAAGCTCACCTGATGAGGACACACTGACTGTCGTGGCGTTTCCAGATGCAGCGGTAGCATTCATTGGCCACGGCAAAGATGTGCGGAGGAAGCTCGCCTATGTGGTGCTTGGAGTACTGGTCCACCCTCTCTGGACCATACATACCTGCGATCTGCTTATAGGGGTTGATTGCTGCCAGGATGCTGCCAATATTAGTCTGAAAACAGTCAACAAATTACATTTCAGCTTCTGTCTGTGTATCCTTTTTTAGTTTATTTGCTTCTTATTTGTTGTCAGTGGATTTCCTACCTCTCTCTGGTTCAAAAATATAGATCTAAACATGCCCCAACACTTACAATGAAAGCACTAAACACATATGCAAGCAATAAGCTCTCAGGAAAACATACAGTGGGCCTACAAACATGTGACATTTCAAAGCAGCCTTGTGGTGATATTAATCTGGAGGATAAGGGGACACAGCAGGGTGCATATCTCACAGCATTAGTGACAAATCATCAAATGTTTATTAGAAAGCTGACTTAAAATCAGTGAGATGATGGAGGCTTGGTTTCTATTCTGAGCCGTTTGTGCTGTAACAGTCACCTTGCTTTCTATCCTTCTGCACTATGAACAAAAAAAAGGTCAGCAAGGCTTCCATCGAGTCATATTACCCTGTCTGTGCAGTTTGTGAGCTACACCCATATAAAGCTGAAGGACACATTTACTCATAAATGCATGAGCACAGTGACACAGAAAGCTGACCCATGAGGGTCAATTCTTATGATCAGCTTAAGGGAAATCCATGTATGGACAATATTTCATCATTTAGATTGGGTCACTCCCAGGGACGCTGTTATTGGTCTGTTCCCTGTAAGCTTTCAGGTTTTCAGGCTTTCCAGATGTCTGACTTTCAACTCAACAAACAAGAGCAACATTTATTATTTAATTGAGCTCAATATCCTTTTTATGACCTCAAAAAGAGATTATTGTCTTTTCACCATCAATGGTCATGAATGAAATGCTTTATTAAAGCTTCAATTCATTACAAACATATAATCAAATTACCACAGATATGAATTTTTATTGTGATGAGTGTGTCATAGGATCTGAAAAAGACACAAGGCTTTTGATGCTTCATCTACTGGATTTACTGTAGAAATAAACACGAATCATGCATGTGTTTATAGTCACTTGTTAGGGCTGAAAGACTGATTGAGATTATTTTGACTGCTATTGCAATGGCTTTACGATTCACGATAGTTTAGAGAATGTCTCTTTTTGTGTCATTATTCTTATATTAATTCAAATATATATTAAAGTGATTATGGGATGATTTTTTGTGAGCATCTGTTCAAAACAAACATTTTCTTCTCATTTCTTTAGAAGGATGGATCTGTAGCACCACAATACTTGGTATTAACATACACATCTTTTTTTTAATAGAAGAAAAATGCATACTTATTTCGAGTGAATAGGCCTTCAGTTTCTTTCTTTGCTGCAAACATGTAATTGTTTGTCCCTGGTTGTCACCAAATCACCCAGGATTAATAGGTTAAGGATTACAACACTTAAGAGTTTTGTGTGCTGGTTGTTTCTTACTTTATAAGTCTCTCTCTCCATCTCCTTACTAATTCCACTGGGAGTGGATGAGTGATAACCTCAGGCATGTAAAGATTACTGGAAAAGGAAAAGGGGGGCAGATCACCACATAAACATGCTGTGCATCCACCCTCTCACACATACTTACAAACACAGACACACATCTATCTGAATGCACTCACATAGATGTTATCCTTCTGGTAGCGCTGGTACAGGTTGTGCATGATGGCGGCCTCGTGCAGGTCAGCCAGCGCCGACATGTCCTCCACGCCATCGATGCTGGACTGGTGCATCGCGTACACCCGCTCCCTGGTGATCTCCGCCTGCTGCAGGTACAACACCTGGAAGACAAATAAATTACATTGCATGTGTTACATTCTTGTCTGCGTCAATAACATATTTCAGTAGTACTATTTCCTTAGAAAACACCTGATTTTGTTGCAGTTATACACGCAAAACTTTTCAAAACAAGATAGGAAGCTCTGCTGATTAAACAGTAGTTTAGGCATGCGCAACTTTATTCTTCCTCAAGGTTAAATTATTATTCACAAATCTGTAAATACTGTGTAACCAGTCCTCATCTTTGACCATGGATATATGAGTTTTGAAAGTTGGTACTGCAAAGTTAAAGGTCCCATGTCATGCTTTTCCGGTTATTACCCGTCCCCTTGTGTGTTATGAAGGTTTTTATACATGTAAACGGTCTGCAGAGTCAAAAACCCTCAAAGTACACCCTGTAGGGAGTAAAACTCTAACACAGAAAAGACCTCCCCAAAACGCCTCGTTGCAGATTTCTCATTTACTTCCTGGGTATCGCTACGTAGGGATACCCAGTAGCCACGCCCAGAGCTATGGCCGCACCCTCTGCCAGCCTTTCACGAAACAAAGCTTCCCAAACCTTTCAGCGATTCAAGCCGGATATGTACAGCTTAGGGCACTGAAGAACGATGCTGTTCCTACTTTGTTTGGACCAGCGGGAGATTCGGGTACACAACCTCTAAGTATTCATTGTTGTTTGTGTATTTATGATGTTTAAAACAAACAAGGTATCTACCACGACTGTTTAAATGGGTAAACGTTTTTCGGGCCACTACGTTGGGATCGCGGAGAAATGCTCTCCGCAGACCCATGCTCACAGCGTTATAAACCTTTTTCTTATTCAATATCAAGCCACACTTATTGTTTTTACTTCGGCTGTGAGTGTTTGTGTGTGCTCAGGATGAGTTTCGCTTGTTCTGTATCTGTATCGCCACACACGGAAGCGTGTCTCGCTGCTCCTCTGCTCCTCACGAGCAGCTGCGAGCAGCAACGCGCCTCTCACGTCGCGTGACCAATCAGAGCACACTGGGCTCACAGGGAGGGGGGGGCAGGAACTCCAACAAGCCGTTTAGGACAGAGAGTGAATACCGGTGAATACACATACTTTACAGAGATGCTGTATGAGAAACCAATGTGAGTTTGGAAAATTGCACAGTATAAATCTATTTTAGTAGACCTCAACAATGGAATTATGATCAGTAGAAATGGCCATGACATGGGACCTTTAAACTACCTTGGGTTTCGCACTGGCATTGACAGCCTCTGGTCTTTTGCTTTTTGAAAATACGAGGGTGGAGAGATACAAAATAATATGAGATTGTCTTGAATAGCTAAGAAAGCTTTCTGTTACTAACTTTCTTCTGTCATGTAACGCCAAAACCAAATTCTCAGTCACCAACAACCACTGATCAGGGTCAACAAAATGCTGATGAGTGACATCATTTCCATCTCAGTGCAAAATCACAAAACAGGGTTGATGACGGACAATCAGTCATGACGGTTCGTTTTGCTTTCTTACAACGTTACGTTAATGTTAACTTAACCTTACATTTGCTAGGAGGCTATTGTTACTTCCCTTAACAAGAGCTAGTTGTCTTAGCTAACAACAGTTAGCAGCTAACGAATATCTTAAGTGCTTTGACAAAAAATCCATAAAAAAATGTCATCTGTGGAAGCCGTAGTACTGTAAAAAGCACGACCAATCATTTTAGCCGGCCCGGCTAAAATAACTGGATGGCCTACCTGCCTGTCAGCTTTCCATCTGTGCACAAACTTATCTCGTGCCCTCATTGGTCATGTGCTCGTTCGTGTGTGTTGGAGGAGGGGCTCTGTAAGGAAGTGGCAGATTTTTTCCGGCTGTGTATTTTCAAATTCTAGCGCACTCAAGCTGGTTTCTCCAAAATGACCTACCCCACCTTTAACACAAAGAGGGTGCTTCATTGTAAACTTTTCTTACACATGTGTGTTAATCTACCTGAAATTGTAGGGACAGTTTTTTTCTACTCAATGATACAGACCATTGTTGAGGAGATGCAAAACATACTGTAAATTAGTTGGGTCCGACATATATTTTGAGTAATGTTACTTTGCTGCTAAAAAATGAAACATTATCAGATGAAGACATCACCAAAGTGTGTGAGTCTGTCAGGGGATTTTATCTGTTCTTTGCATGTCGTACAGGGCCTATGTACACACTGCTCTGGTATTAATTACAAATATAATTGTAAAATGTAAGTCTCCCGCTCTTGTCATCAGTCAGGCTTTGCATTTGAACTGGTGCACCAGCTAAACCAGCTAAACCAGCCATCCTGTCCAGCTAAAGTGTCCAAAACCCTTCTAAACCAGCCAACCTATCTACTGGCTGGTCAGGCTGGTCAACTTAGCTGGTTTTTTCACCAGGGTAGTGTGTTGTTTTGTATTGCAATTAGATAAACTGCATAACGTTTAAGCTGGTGTTACTTCTCAGTGTCTGTGCTAAAAGTAAAATACACCACAAAACCTCCTCTGAAGTAGATATAACACTTGTGCCACACAGTTGTCAACCTGGTATTGATGCCAACTGGATAATAAAATCTTGTTCAGTGTGAGGAGGACAATGCTAACACTGTAAGGTCTTTCCATTTTAAGCATGAACAGAGTAATTATGATGCAACATGACGAAAAACACACATGATGAGAACACAGAGCTTTGTGCTAACAAGACCCCGGTCTCATCTATGTCAACTATCGCCATGGCAACTGGAGAGCAGGTGACAAGACAGGAAGAAAGCCATCTGTGGGGGGAATAAGAAGAAGAAATGTGGAAGAAAAGGAGACAGAGTAATAGATCCAATCTGGCAGGAAGGACAGCTGAAAGTAGGGCTGTGCAATTAATCGTATTTTAATCGCAATTACGATTTTGGCCTGCCACAATTACGAAAACAACATAATCGAAAAAAACAATTATTTTGCTTTGCTAGGTTGTGACAGTGCACTGCAACATATTTGATCTAATTAATGTTGGTCTCATTTATTTTTATTTATTATATTTATATATGTTTAGTAGCTTGGGGAAGTGCGCTCCAAAATATTTGTTGATCTTGTTTATTGGTATTTATTATTTTGATATTATTTATTTAAATGTATAATTTATTTTTGTATTGGTTTTTCAGTTGAATTATATGTTCAGGGTAATCAACAGTTAAAAAGATACTGTTCAAATTATTATTTGTATTTGTTTTAAAGTTCAATAAATAGATTTTTTCAAAGTCAATGAATAATCGTATTTAATAATCGTGATATCAATTATTGACCCAAATAATCGTGATTATGATTTTTGCCATAATCGCACAGCCCTAGCTGAAAGCATCTCATGTATTGTCACACACACACAAACACACACACACACACGCTGCTAGGATGATCTTTCTCTGATGCATTCAATCAACAGCAAGTGGCAACCTCCAGGTCTAAAAATAGAACCTCCGAGTCGCTAATAGCCAGCAGGGGGCGACTTTATAATGTAGGTCTGACTGTCACTGTATAGAAGTCTATGACAAATTGACCCTACATCTTACTTGATGTATTACCTGAGTCATTTAAACATGAGTTTACGGTCTCAATCGGTAGTTTCAAGTCTGCTTTAATTCAGAATAATGATAATTTTGTAGTTATGGAATCATTTAGAGTAAAATAGACGACAAAGCAGGGTATATTGGGCATTGCTAGTTAGAACAGTGTTGTCTGGTTTGGGGGTCTGTGTTTTCATCGTACAACTTTAACCCTTTCAACAGTGTGTTTTCATTCAGAAATCTAACTGTAACATTGTAGGTGTCTCAAAAGGTCATGTCCAGCATTATGTTGCACTTTTCGCCATCCTCTTGTGTCACTTCTGGTACCAAGAAACCAAGATGGTGACAATCAAATGTGAACCAAAAATGCCAAATTCAAGGCTTTAAACTTTAATCTGCATAACAATCTGTGAGGTCACCCTTTCTAGAACCAGTTTCTATACAGTCTATGGTCCACATCCACACACACATACTGTACACACACAGATAATTAAAGTCATTTCATCGCAGCATAAAGGTCATTCATTCATTCCAGCTAAATCAACTTGCCTAAGAATAGAAAACCTTTACAATACTGGTTGTTAATATGTCAGCGCAGTCTCACAGCCAGCCTCCATCCTGTGTGTGTGTGTGTGTGTGTGTGTGTGTGTGTGTGTGTGTGTGTGTGTGTGTGTGTGTGTGTGTGTGTGTGTGTGTGTGTGTGTGTGTGTGTGTGTGTGTGTGTGTGTGTGTGTGTGTGTGTGTGTGTGTGTGTGTGTGTGCGCACGTGCGTGTGCTTGTGTGTGTGTGTGTGTGTTTTGCCGTAACAGATGTTGGGAGTCTGTTGAGAGTGGCAGAGGGGCGCGCTGTAGGCGTTCAGACATCTTGTTCTTAAATAAATCTATTTCACTCCAGCAACACAGTCTTCTACGGAGCTGTTGCGTGCAGACAGCTCTCTATAGGGCAACATAAACTCAGTAACAACATGACCGCACGTAAAATGTTGTTTATAGCCAACAAATAGAAACCAGTGTGTCATATGTTGTAGTTTCTGCACTCCTAATCTACTCTCTCCTGTCTTACAAGTACAAACGTTGAGTGGATGCTCTTTTGGTAACTGCCTCACTAACCTTTCCCTACTCACTCAGCTGTGATGAAATGACCCAATTATCCTTCATCCTCCATTAGAGAGAGCATAACTTATATAGCTCTCTATCTTCACTATGACCTTGTCCACTTGACTCTTTGTCTCGACCTTTTTACAACCTTGGTGCTAAATTAAGACACTGACATGTTGCTACCCAAGCACAATTACTTATATATATTAGTGTTACAGCCGGGGTCAATATCATGAGGATGATTTTGATCCATATAGTGCTATAATAACATTTGTTCTAATGCAATCAATACTTTTATCCTTTTCAAAATTACATTTTATTTATTCTAATTAGGCCTAATATACGTGTTTGTCAGTTTGTAATGTTAATTTCAAG